ATGTCTTTTGATGCCGAGTTACTTGCATTGGAACTGTATGGCAGCTGCTGGCTAACTGGGACTGCATGGCATATCGGACTGAAGCCAGCTTGTGAACGTGATTGTGCTCACCAGTGCTGGGCAACGGGCTTGAGAACAACCCTTCCTCACCTTTGCCATCGTTTTGCTCCACGGAGCGGATTCGCTCCAGGGCGCCACGTCAACAGGTCCTGCGGCATTCCTTTTCCAGGGCCCTATCTGCAATCTTGTGGGTATTCGAATTGTTTGACCCGCTGGGGATACGAAGGGGGGCGGTAGGAAACTTCGGTGTTCTATCACATCACAGCTCTTGGACAGTTTGGCAGAGGAGAGCAAAATTATGTTCGAGACCAGGCTCTTGACATTGAGGGAAAGTGCGCGGTGAGAGCTACCTCCATGGACTTTCGGGTAGGCGACACATAATTACGGACATCGAAGCTCATCGCCCATCAATTATGTGACGGTCTTCGAGAGGCGGTCTGCAGATGTGACGAGCTGCTCTGGTCTGAGGAAAGCGTTCAGAATCTCAAGCTCGTGGCCAAGTGGGAGACTTAAGATCAGACCCCGATGTTTGGAAACCGAAAAATCAAAAAAACAATATTGAGACGTCATGGCCCCGACCAGAAAGCGTAGCATGGGAGTCCCAATCAGGTGGCGCAGGCACCGAAGAAAAGAGATGGAGTCCAGGAATCCACCACAGATCCGTGGCATCAGTTCGAGCACGATCGTTACCACGAGCAGCTGATGAACGCTGGGTTTCCTGATCAAGCCTGGGCGGAGTGGATCGCCACGGTTTCTTCGACGGCGGGGTGACGCAGTGGCGGCATGGCCACCGTCGATCAGAAGGCCAAGCAGTACGCGACGGAACGTTCGCGACGACTGACGTGAAGGCGACTTCATCGGAGTACCCGCGACGACGACACTCAATCGGTGTTGGCGTCGGCGATATGCCCACACAAACTACGACAATTACGGTGGCGAAGGTGTGAGGAGGTAGCCGAGCAGCTAGCGGCCGAGATCCACGTGGTTTGGAGACGACGGCGACATGCAGAGGCTTGGAGGCTGGCTCACCTCTTGCCGGGACAACGTCGAGACCGCCGCACACGCAAGTTCAATTTTCCAGGTGAATCCGTTTTTCGGAAGGATGACGTGCGTGACGCATCTGCGATAATGGAGATATCCTGGAAGATCCCGTAGGAGTCCCGTCGTTTTTGTCGTTCTGACCTTTCCCTCGCCTCCTCTGCCGCCGCCGCCGCCGTCGGACCACGCGCCATGGCTGTCTGACCGCGCGCAGCCGTTGCTGTTATAACTAGGTGGGCAAAGGGGCGCGCCTCGGCCGGCCCGCTCCCCTCCCTATTCTCAGGAGGGGAAAACACACACAGACACAATTGTTCGTCGATTCCCAGAACATATGCGAAAATATGGGAAGTGGGGGGGAAGACAGACACCCATAAAATATATGAAAACATGGGGAATCTTGCTATTTGTGTGTATTTATTTGTGTGTCCCAGGGCCCCATTCATACACATGTCTAGCAATGTCCCCCTTGGTTGGTCTGGCACCATTCCACGGGGCTGTGCAAGCGGCACGGGAAAAAGGAGCCCAAGGCTTGCAGATTTTTTGGGCCATGTACAATGGGGGCGGCGTGGTCCCAGACCCAGCCGGTGCGAAGTCTTTCCGTCTCGGCGCCTGGTCGTGAACAAGGACATCACAAGGGGCGCGATCGCCAGGGGGCTTTGATTTGTCAAGAAGCGTTTTCCTGGAGACCTGAGGGCTAGGGGAATTTCATCGGCGACCCCGAAGGAGGGCATGTTCAATGCGTTCGGTGGCTCGACTGTCGATTCCCTAAGGCACAAGTCGAAGAGTCGATCGAGCACGACAGTTGCACGTTCTTTCAATAGCCGCACGAACGCAGAAATTCCACGGCCCACGCGGCGGACGGCGAAGCAAACCTGCGCAATATGTGCAGGGCCATCAGAGCGACAGTGCGACAGTCCAGTGGTGTTGTTGTTTGCCCGTAGTTGTCGGCGGCCACTACAAGAGGGGCCTGGCTCACTTCTGACTGCGCGTGAGGAATAGGCAGTTCAGGATGTCGCCTCACGTTTGCCTCCGAGTAGTGTTGAGTCGCACTTGTGGCCGTCGGAGGACCTGCGCGCGGCGCGAGCGCCTTTTCTGCGGCGCGCGCTGCATCGTGGGCGCTGAAAGTCCAGAACACCGTGGAGGCGTTTCATCAGCGCCTGCGAGAATCTCCGGATTGCGGAGGCTACGCCCGCAACGCCGAACACGGCAACGCGTCGCCATCATTCGCGGGCAAGGAGTCTCATAAAATTTCTGCAGGCGCACGAGGGGGCTCGGTTCCTGTCTCGGGGAAGGCGCCGTTCGACGGGAGTCGAAGGCGAGTTCTGGCTTGCGAAAAAGGATCCCACTATATGGGTAAGTTCTGGGCTCGGAACAAAGTCCGCAGACTCGCGAAAACGGCGGCCGGGGGCCGCATCTCAAGGGGCCGCGCCACGTGGGCCTTCCACGAACGCCCCCGCCCGCGGACAGGAAAACAGCTTGGATCGCGTTCCGGCAGGCTTCGCTCGAAGGCAATCACGAGTAGACGCCCGCAAGAAGACGGATATTCTGAGAGACGGCGGCCGCCCGGAACGCGGCGAGGCAGGCGCGCCTGGCGCGAAATATCGAGCGCGCCCCGATGAAGTTGTGTTTTTGCTTTTCAGAACGGCGGGGGCGGCACGCTGAGGGGCTGAGCCGCGCGCGCGACGGCCTCGCGCGACCCGGAGATGGATTCGGAGACCGCCAGGCCAGTCCCAAGTGCTTGGCGCCGTCTTTGGTCAGCCCCCTTGTCGAACCATGCCCCGCGGCGCTAGAAGCGGCGCGCTGGCGGGAGATCGAACCCACGCGCGCAGCGCTTTGCGTTGGGTGCGTGTTCAGGCTCATGCGAAGGTCTCAGTAGCCAGACTTTCCCGAGGGCCTCTTGGCGCTCGCCTCTTCCATCCCGGGCTACTCTGACATGGGACTGTTCGCGCCCTGTTCTTTGGCCACGCTAATCACGACCGATTCCTCAGGATCGACCTCGGGGTCCTTCGAGCGGCCGCGAAGATGGCGGCGACTGACTTCCTCCTGGATTATGCGACGACCACGCGCGCGCACACGATTGCGCCAGCACCCTACAGCAATGTTCCGCCAAAGCACGGAGCAGCTCGAGGGCGAGCGCCCTCGCCCTGCCGCGCGCGGGCGGCTAGCCAGCGGGCGAGGGAGAAGCCGCAGTGCGCCAGGAGCTTCCTCCCGCCAGCGTGGCGGTCGCGTTCGGCAGCGGGGAGGGGGGGGCAGCCGGGCTCAGAGGCAGCGACCAGGAGATCAGGCGACGACAGCGGGGGGGCGCTCATTCGCAGTCGGGAGACGACGACGCCAAGATGGATATCGGGAACGTGCATGAATTGGCCCAGAGACGGTCGATCGATTGCCGAAGATGGACGCCCAGCCGGTGCCCGCGTTAGTCATGGCAGTCTTACGTAACGCGCTCAAGAGGAGGACATCCGCGCCGGACGAGAACTGCAGGCCGATCAAGGCGGCGTTCCAAGCGGGGCGGGTCCACGCGACAGCAGCAGCCAAGATGAGGGAGGACTGCCACATGGTCCCGAGCAACAAGCAGCCCCCCAAAGCGGGCATGGCACCAGCCTGCGCGCAGGTCGCACCGGCGGCGCGCGAGCAGATGACCAATGCAGGAGGCAGAGTGGGAGTTCGCAGCGCGCAGGCTCGGGGCGCATAGGCGGCGAAAATCAACGGGACGCGGACGTGAGCGACATGGCATAGTTGGCGACATGCGTTCGAGCCAGCCAGGCGTGCAAGGAAGGAATGGTCAAACTTGTGGTGTCTCCCCCAGATCAGGTCACGCTGAAAACACTCCAAGATTGCCCTGTCGAGCCCGCGGCCGAACACAAGCAGGGCGGAGTTCCGAGGTCGAACGTCGAGAAACCTCACGCAGCTGGTGGTCGGCGAGTTCGAGGAAGGGTTGTTGCCAAGACGAGCGCGACACATACAGCGAGGCAGCGACACGTTGACTTGGGAAGGCGGCCGAGGGGCGACATCGACCAGCATGTTTCCGTGCTGCGTCCTTAGCGGGCACCGCGCCTCCTGCTGCACGAACCGCGCAAAGTACTTCGGTGGCGATGGGTGCGACAAAGGGAAGTTTAACACATGATGTCGCTCCGAAGGGAGCTGATGGCATGGATCGGGGGAGTTTGACGCCTGCCGTTGTTCCTCCTGTAGTTGCTGGAATTGCAGAGGGGAGTACAGCGCCTGATGCCGTTTCTCCCGGAGCTGCTGAGGGGAAGTTTTGCGCTTGATGTCGTTCTCTCTGGAGCTGGTGGCATGACGAAAGGGGAAAGTGTATGTCCTGGTGTCTCGTGTCCATCTCTGACGTGCCCGACTTCGATGGCGCTACCTGGTGCTGCTGACGGGGGTTGTTGTGACTCGTCCGCCGCGGGAAGTCCCTGGGAGCGCAGTGGATCGACAGCCGCGAGAAGGTCGGGGGCAGACAGTGATGCCCCTGATTCATGCACCGTCGGTGCCGCAGGAGGACGCCGCAGCCGCGGCTGTTTCGTCTCATCCTCCTCGACACAGTCACTATAGTTCTATTTACACCTTCAATGAAACAACTCATTCGTTAGGGCCCCCGCGGATTCCCTAGGCCCATGTCGGGCCTGGGGTTGCTGGCCCGTGGGGGCCGCCAGAGTCCAGATTGTTAATTCGTTTCGAGAAATGCAGTTGTGGTAGAGCGAGTACAACTCACGGCTCCCGCCGCGCGGCCATCTACTCCCGACGTCTTCCGACGCGCACGGTAGGTCGCACATTGTTGAGGTCTCTCGGAGTGCGGCTTTGCTCGATTAGTTCGGCTTTCGGCCCCACACCGTTTCGCCGCCGTCTCCGCTTCCTCCTCCTCCTCCTCCTCCTCCTCCTCCTCCTCCTCCTCCTCCTCCTCCTGCTCCTCCTCCTCCTCCTCCGCATGTCTCTTCAGGGGCAACGTCCGGGGGGAATATGTGCAGGGTGGGACGCATCGATCCCAAATCGCCCAGTTTATTCATCGCCGAGTAGGGCCGCATAGTTATGCCCCCCGAGCCCCATCGCCCACCTTGCCCAGGGACATGCGGTCTCGCTACCAGGCGCCTATCGCTGATCCGTCGGCGATGCATCGCCGACTCCACGTCGACGGTATCCCTCCCTGAAGCCCGTCCCCCCCCTAACGTTCCCCATCAGGCAGGGATCGGGGATCGGGTTATTTAGGAATTCAGCCTCGGCGCTGGTATTTCCGTGGTCGAGAACTGGCCCGATCCGGCTCGATCGCGCGCCGTCCGGCCTAATCCCGCCTAATTCGGCCCACCTTTGGGTTCAACTTGGGTTAATCCGGCTCAGCGGCCCTTGAATCGGGTCTGTTCCTTTTCCATCGTCCCTCTTCCGCCTACGCCCAGGGTGACCAAAAATTTCCAATGAGGCCCCCGCGGTTTCCAGAAAACCCACGCGAGATCCTGAGGGCCCCAGGGGGATCAGAATGGAGCGAGAAGTTGGGGACATTTTGGGCCAGAATGGAGCGAGAAGTTGGGGGCAGCTCTGTCCCCCCCTATCGTTCCCCCTCGCATCCACTCGGGGCCAAGAACATGCCCACTATATCATGTCATGCCTGTCCACAATTTAGAGGCACATGGCCCCCAAAACAGATACATACATATACATAGATTCGTGTGTATATATATATATATATGTATGCATAACTATATACAGATATAGACATAAGTTCAACACCTGTCACCTGGAGAACCGGCCGGAAAGTAACACATTACATCTTCTCCTGTGGCGTTTCTGCGAAGCCCCGTGGGGCAGGGCCCCAAATACCTTGGCGCGTATAAGTGCAGCTCCCATGTACGATATGTTATTTCTCCTCCTCCTCCTCCTCCTCCTCCTCCTCCTCCTCGCCCTCCTCCTCCTCCTCCTCCTCCTCCTCCTCCTCCTCCTCCTCCTCCGCCTTCTCCTCCTCCGCCTCCCCCTCCTTCGGCGGCACCGCCGACGGCCCCGCCCGATGGCGGCCGGGAGGCGCGAGGCCCCAGGGCCCGGCGCGCGAGCGGGGGGCGGCGCGGGCGCAGAGAACCGCGCAGCGCTCGGACAGATCGCGCGCCCCCGGAGACGCAGGGCCCTCTGCCCCCCTCGGGCGTTGCCGCAGTGGTCGGAGGCCCAGAGGTTGACACCAACACCAGATTCGGCGGTGTGCCTCCACCGAGGGAAAATGACCCGATCTTGGTGATGGTGGTCAATGGTGGTAGTATTCGGGCCTCCTAGGTGGCCGAAAGAGTACCACCAACACCGAAATCGAGGATCATCTTCCCCCCTGTGGAGGCAAACCCCCTCCGTTGGTGTTGGTGCCCATTCCCAAACCTCCAAAGTGGGTGGAGGGTGTCAGCCACGCGCAGAGGGGGGCGGGGGGAGGGGGGGAGGCTTCTTAGAAGCACCCCCGCTTCTTCGAGGGCGTGGGCCTTGTCTGTCGATGCGAGGCCCGCGCCTTCTAAGAAGCCGCCTCCTTCGAAGAAGCCGCCCCACTCCCCCTATACCTCTGTGTGCGCGCCGCAGAAGGTGGAGGGGCGAAGACAGGTGCACCTCTTGTGCACCTTGCGGTCGGAACCCTTTGGACTGCGCGTCGCTCCGCCAGTTCTGGCGCGGCACGCCGGCCACTTCACGGCCCCCCCGCGTCGACGCCCGAGCCTTCGCAAGCCTCCAGCCCCGCGGAGCGGAGCGACACAGCATCTGCTCGCGGAGGATAGCGTGTCTCCTCTGCCGCCGCAGCGACACGCTGAGCAACAATTTCTGACCGTCGGGGGCCCTTCAGGAGCCCCCCGGGACCCAGCAGGGGCACGAATGGTGCACGTGTCTTGGCCCCCCCGTCTATCGCCGCCCCGTGCGGGAACGGCCAATCCTCCTCCCCAGGGCCCCAGATGCCAGGACGGCAAGGCTTCGGGCTGCGCACAGACAGCCCTCCAAGTAGTTCTGGCTGGCCTCAACAAGCCCGCGAGTAGTCCAGGGTGGCCTCAACGGCAGTTGTCCATCTATGGGCTTCCCGTAATTCCGAGTTATGGGAAAACCATCGGCCGCCAGATTCCTTCGGGGATTCTGGCCGCCGATGGGTTTCCCATAATTCGCAGACCTTCGTGGTCTCAACACCTTCGCGCCGCCTCTGATGGCGCCCCTGGGGTGTTCCGTGCCCCGGGGTTTCGGTGATGAGACCGCCCTGGGCTACTCTGGGAGCTGTTGAGGCCAATTTGGGCGGCCTGGAAGGTTTATCCGAAGGGCTTAGGCGACCCGCTCCTCCTCCTCCTCCTCCTCCTCCTCCTCCTCCTCCTCCTCCTCCTCCTCCTCCTCCTCCTCCTCCTCCTCCTCCTCCTCCTCCTCCTCCTCCTCCTCCTCCTCCTCCTCCTCCTCCTCCTCCTCCTCTCCTCCTCCTCCTCCTCCTCCTCCTCCTCCACCTCCTCCTCCTCCTCCCCTCCTCCTCCCCTCCTCCTCCCCCTCCCCCTCCTCCTCCTCCTCCTCCTCCTCCTCCTCCTCCTCCTCCTCCTCCTCCTCCTCCACGTCCTCGGGTCGCCCACGGCCCCGGGGGAAACCGTGCAGGGCGGCCTGTTGAGATCTGTGGCGGCCAGCTGGGACTGCCTAAGGAGGCCGTCTGCGCGCAATCCGAAGCCTTACCAGACCAGGAAGCTGCAGACCCTGAGATCCGGGCGCTGGATTTTTGTCCGCGATGGGCGGTTTCGCTCGTTGTCGGGCCCTGGGACCAGGACCATCACAGATCGATCCCGCTCGGAAAACGCCGCAGAAAGACAGGGTTTTGGTCGTGATTGTTCGAGATACGGCATACCCTACGCCACGTCGGATGTCAGAGATCCAGGCCTTTGCAGAGTCCACCTGGAGAACAAGAGGACTGTGTGATGTTTCGACCCACAGCTTCGGTTTCCTGGTTTCCTCGAATGCACGCCAGCGTCTGTCAAATGCACCGTTTACCCAGCCTCGACTCTCCTTTGCACGCAGAACAACCAGGAGGGGAAAACACACACAGACACAAATGATCGTCGATTCCCAAGAAACAGATGGCAAGATATGGGAAGTGGGGGGGAGAACGGAACTCCAGAAAATATTGAAAAAGATTGGGAATTTGTGTGTCCTTGGGCCCCTTCAAGCAAACTGCCCGAGGTCCGCGCGGAGCGCGCGGGGGGCCGCGCCAGAGGCGCCGCCAGGGGCGCCCAGAGTGCAGATCCAAACGGATCTGCGTGGACCTTCGAAAGTTTACGTCTGACATGTTATTGCTGTTCCTCTCTGCCTCTGCACCTCCCTGAACGGTCTTCGGCGCTTTTGGGAAGATCTCGTCATCGCGGCTGGGTTCGCTCCGAGGCTCCTGGGGCCTGAGCATGGAAGACGGCCTGGACAAGGAGGGTGACAAAGAGGGGGAGGAAGTGCAGGAGGCACATGTTGTGACCAAATCGCGACCTCGCCAAATGCAAGCACCGCCGGACCTGTCCTGCACAGCGCTCCGGCCAGGATCCAAACGGTCGCAAGGGCGGCGCTCGCAGGCAGACGGTCTTTCCAGTGCATTCTACCAAGGTTGTCCGTGATTGTCGTTCGAGTCAAGGAGGCCGTACAAGGGCATATGGATTATGGTTCGGGCTCGGGGTTGGGAATGCGCGCAACAAAAAACAGGCAATCGCATTGTGTGTAGTATTACATCCGTCTTGCACTCGCATTTTGCTTTACCTTGGCAAGGCTGTGCATTGGCATTTTGCATTATAGAATGAACTGCCTTGTGCACGCAACGCCATGCATTTGCATGTGTATTGTGCTCACGTTGCGTTGGCACTGTACTAGCATTTACCCCCCCTCTTACTCCTCCTCCTCTTCCTCCCTCCTCCTCCTCCTCCCTCCTCCTCCTCCTCCTCCTCCTCCTCCTCCTCCTCCTCCTCCTCCTCCTCCTCCTCCTCCTCCTCCTCCTCCTCCTCCTCCTCCTCCTCCTCCTCCTCCTCCCCCACTCGACAGGCTGAGGTTTTTGAAGATTCTCGTAAACCGAACGCCACCCAACGGCACCGCACGCCGCGGCCGCCAGGCCCAATGGGATCCCGACGGTCCCTGAGGATCCGCCGCCGCGTGCGCCAGAACATGGCAGAACCACGACAGATCAGAGCCCCGAGTCGTCAGGGGTAACTCGGGTCAGGGATACTCGGGTTCGTTTTTCGGGAATCCAAGCCCGAGTTACCCCGGACCCGAGTTACCCCGGATAACTCGGGCGTCCAGAGCCCCACGTCATCAGGGGTAACTCGGGTCAGGGCTCATTCGGGTTCCTTTTTCGGGAATCCAAACCCGAGTTACCCCGGACCCGAGTTACCCCGGATAACTCGGGCGCCCAAACAGACGAACACGACAGATCAGGGCAATGACAGACGAGAGCGACAGGCCAGGACAGAGCCACGACGAAGCTGCCACCACCAGCCGAGAGAGAGAGTGCTCTTCTATCTGATGTGACGGGGATCGATCCTCTGCCGACGGCGCCCTGGGACGTTTGACAGGCCGACATGGGTCGGTCTCGTAACATTGTCTGTTGCGACAAGCGGGCCATGGCATCAACAACCAGGCCGCCGCTTTGATGGAGCAGAGCGCGCGACGGCCGCACGCGACGGGTGAGATGCGAGGCTCAGCGGCTCCCTCCTCCGGCCCGCCCGCATCGCCTTCGGAGCCCGCGAGGCCGCAGGTGATAACTGAGTTGCTCTTTGTCGTTCCTTGCCCTCCGTCCGGGTCCGCTCGTTGTTTGTTGTGTTCCCCCCCCCTCTCTCTTGTCTTTTGCCGTACGTTCGGCTGTCCTATCCTCCCCATTCTTTCTCCCTTTCCTGTGTTGCGGTGGCGGGTTCTGTCTATGGCGGCCCCCACCGTGTAGTTCCTCTTCCTTCTGTTCCCCCCC